CCCCTGGCATACACATTATACATTTTTGTAGCCACAATTTTCATTAACACAAACAAATGAAGAGCAGTATAGAGGGCAGTAGTAGGGAAATATTATCAACTTGATGGCTGTATTTTACAGTATATATACTGTACTGTATACAGTTTGTACATTACCTTATTACAGGTGCTACATAGCATTGGCAGCTGCCCTTCTTGGATAGGCAGTTTAGCCTCTCTAACTTTCCCAGCCAATTCATTCTTTAGTGGCAGTGTTTTAGGCATTTTTTGCAATAGTACAGCAATGCTACAATGCATCATATTCTTTAATGGGTCACTTTAGTATATATGTGAGTATTGCAGTAACCTTGCACAGTATGTCCATATGAAAATATTTGGGCTGAGTTAAATTTTCCTTCTCACAAAGAAAACCTATTAACACTGGAAATTTGTGGAGTGGACTCAAGTTTCAAGATTACATCCTCTCATGAACTACACAGCATAAGTGTCATGTAAGAAAACATACTCCCTTTAAGTGGGCACTCTCCAGTAAGCTCTGAATCATGCTGGATGTGTGCAATACTGTCTTAATTTTTTTATAATAGAAAACCCCTCTCACTGGATTTTATGCCTTATCTTTACATTTAGCAGATAATTATGAATGTTGAGATACACACTATACTGCACCACATGGCATATTTGATAACAGTAACGACCTCTCACTACGTACTTATACACTTAGATTTTGCCCTCGGCCCAATGCATCCTACTACTGTAGTAGGTAACAGCAGCGGATTGAAGACCTGTCCATTAATGGGAGCATTCTACTAAATGGGATCCACTAAAGAGAGGTTTTACTGAATGTGCAGTTGAAATTTAAACTAAAAATTTATGATATGCTTACATGTATATCTCTCATTGGGTCACCTTGTGTATTACCCCAATTTCTTGTTTCAGTTTATGCTACCCCAATACTCCTTATACCTCAGTTCAATATTAGTGTTTATGTTCTCATTATAACGTAAAATCAAACAACAATTCACAGAAGTTGATTTTTTTTATTTAGCCGAGTGCAGTATGGTAATATGCTATTTAACCTTAACAACGTAGGAAATCCAGGCATTTAATGAAAATCATCTTTTATATATACTGTAGATACTCTAATTATATGTTTATTTTATTTTTTATTTTAGTTTATTAAGCAATTTATCTTTAAAGACACATTCCTCTTAAATATATTTGTCTCCATCTGAAGGCAGATTTTTTTTTAGTATAGTACAGTAATTATTTTCCTTGAGGTCCCAGGATATTTTTAGTTTGTACTATGGTTTTTCTGCTCATATTAGTAATATCTTGTTATAATTTATTCACATTTTTCTAATTCTTCATAAAAATCTTAACACATTGAAATATTCATCCCGTGAAGCAAATTAATACCCTTTGCTGTTAGTCCCAAGTGAAAATACTCGGTAAATTACTTGAAAATTGGGGAACGTTAGTATTGTATTGGTTGGTTGTATTTGTGTGTTTATGGATATCCTCCATGGTGCTGCATAAATAGGTGAATAAAACTTAGTAGTGTAATTCTGTTGATATCATCATTGCACTGCCAAATTAATTTAGATGATAGTACTGTAGTTGAAATATTTGAAGTTGCATGGTTGCATAGTACATATCCTCATTGTATTTTGAAATATGAAGTACAGTACTCAATATTTCTTATAATGTTTATTTTCATACATATTTGTTACTCCCATTCATTAAGTTGTTGATATTATGTTGACTTTCATTAAAGGGTTACTACAACCTTATGTTTCTTTATCCTCTGTCCCTCAGTACACATGTGCAAAAGTGAAGGCCGATGGCTGTCATAGTAGGAAAAATATTTAGTGTGTGTAAAATAAATTTATTTTAATTTGTATACTGTAGCGTACCGTACTCTACCTTGAATGAAGTGAATGTAGTTCGTCACCAGCAAGAATAAGATTTGAAAACGTCTGTATTCAGTGAGATTGTTAAGAATACCTATACAAGTAGATTCTTTTTGTATTGCACTACAGTATTTATAATTCCAAACTGTCTGAATTTGTTTTTGGTTTTATTATGGTACCGTACATATGTATACCACAACAACAAAAGTCACCCACTCAATGAGAATTTTGTTGTGTTTTCAATAGCAAGAGACAATAAGAACACTGTACAGTGGTCTTATATGTACAGAGTATATTGTAAAATAACATGCTATACTGTACAGTAGTACATTATCACATGTTATTATATGGTAATTTTTTGTGTGTTGTCATTTAATGTGTGTATGATAATTTACATATCTATTAGAAATATGAGATTCACAGTGAGGAAGGCTCATGATCTTTCATACTGTATGGTGCACCAAACTTGAACTTATTTATATTAATTCATAGCAAAGTACATCTTGCTAGCTGCTCTAGGTGTGTTGTAGACATTCTAAGTCTACAAATACAGTACTGTATGCATGTTATTGAGTAAGAAAGGATAAGGAATTTTGAACATAGTGTATACATTAAGGTGTGAGTGTGTATTAAAACAAGATTAATCCTGAAAAATTTTGTTACTTTATGATGACAAAAGAAAATATATGTAAAGTGTATAAATATTGTTTTTCATTTATAATTTGACTCCATTAATCAGTAATATGGTTTACCTGGATAAAATGTAAAACATAATTTTTTTGGTACTCAAGAGATCTGTCTAATAAGGTTGTCAACATTAGCAAAATCCCGTGGTGAGCGTATTTATTTTGTCATTTGACTGTTGATAATACAGAGTAATAGAAAATATCTTAATGTATCACAATCATCCACAGGAAATTTAATTGCCCTTCACAAAACTCCAATCTCACAACATTACAATTCTAGTAACTTGTGAAATAATTACTGGATATTGGAGAACTAGTGTTGGATAACTGCTTCAGTCCATTTTCTTTGAAGAGAAAAGATGGTCATTAACCTACCCCTATCCCCTACCTGACCTTATCCTTACAGCCTGGGTCTGCTTTTTGTCATGTTTGGTCTTATATATCCATTTTAATTGTTTTTGTACTTTCCTCAATCCACACAACAAATACCATACTGTTTCCTGTTAGTATGACTTTATAATATTGTTTAAAATATTGCATTTCATTCAAGAATTACTCTTTATGATTCAGAGCAATCGTTCCTGCTTTTTTTCCTTGATGCACTTCATTAGCATGACTTTTCAGTATATATATATATATATATATATATATATATATATATATATATATATATATATATATATATATATATATATATATATATATATATATATATATATATATATATATATATATATTGTACTTTTGTTATTAATTTTATTTCTAAGTGTCTCTTTATAGTTAAATGTCTAATTGTGTTTACTTTTCACAGTATGTACTGTACTGTACAAGGAATGTACAGTATTTGTAGCTTTATAATCTTCTTTTTCATCTCATTAAATTTTTCTGCACAAAGAGCATGTCACCCATAAGAACTGCATTCTGTAAGAGAACATAATTATTAGGAGCATGTTATTTGCAATATTTTTAATTTATGCTACCTCTTACTCTAGAGCATGACGTGGTCTCGGGTACTGAAGTGAAATACTTTGCCTCTGGAAATCATGGATGAAACTGGTTCTTTCATACTGTGACTTAAGTAGTTGAGAAATGCAACTTTGAAAATTAGGGACAGAAAAAGGTGATGGTGTTGTTCATGTTGGTAAGGCCAATGCTGACACAGTGTCTCCTGTGTTTCAGGCCACCATACTCCCCAGGTACCTTCCTGTGCTGCATCCCCTGGACGGTCGTATGATCCTACAACCCTTTTGGTCCCCCCTTCTCCTTCTCCTTCCTCCATATCCTTGCCATCATCCCCAGCCCGATACCTAGTATCTCCTCCTTCCCCAGGTACCAAGCCACCACCTGATCTTATATACCTGTCTGGGTTGAGAAGAATGGGATTGGGTCACTCCCAACCAGTAAGCCGTCTGGAGCTGTTGACACGAGCTCTGGCCCATCGAGCTTTAGCAGACACCTCAAAACCTGAACATCACCATAGTCTCCCATTTCACCTAACCTCCCCCAGTCCCTTTCAGAACATTGATACCAAACCTTTCCCAAACCTAAGCAGCTCATTCCATAGAAATAAGCACAACAGCAACAGCATCAACCACAACAATAACAACAACAAAAACAACAACAACAACCTCAACCTCACAAGTAGCAGCACTGATGGGGGATCTGTGGGTGTACCACTGGTACAAGGAACCAGTAGCACTAATGGAGGATTGGTGCACACCTGTCACCGCTGCGGCAAGGGCTACGGTGTAAGGCGGTCTCTCCACCGCCATCAGAAGTTTGAGTGTGGTGTTGAACCCAAGTTCATGTGTCCAGTGTGCAATAAGAAGTGTACACATAAATTCAACTTGAAGCAACATATGTTATCTCATCACAAATATGCAGTACACTAAGATATTCACAAGATTTCATAGCATTGTGATTTAAACATAAATACTATATGTATTAGATAAGACATTTTATTTTTCATGTTTTACTTTGTTTGCTTTACAATGTAACCATTGATCTCATTTGCATTCTAGTGGATTAATTTTCTAAAGGTCCAAGACCCTTATGACATTTGTACTCTTATATAGTTTTCTAGTGTTATTGTTTACCTCAGTTATAAGTCTTTTGGTTGTGATAAATCTGTTTAGGGTTTTGAAGTTTTACTGTCTTGTATTTTTTTAGATGCCAACAATGCATGGCTTTGTTGTTAATCCCCCCCCACCCAACCCCTATTTTTTGGCTCTCTCCTGATTGGCTTTCTCTGCATGGCTGGTTCACTCACTCATTCCTCTCCCACTGTAATTTAATACACTTGGAGAAGAATAGTGGATGGCCCCAAACTGCTTCTTTTGGAGTACTGTAGAGCTAACCTCAGCACACCACCTTGTCTACCTGCTAACCCCTGTGTTTTCTTGCAGATTACTTGCGTGCTTATAACCTTGTGAGAGCTGGTTTCCCTGGCCTGTTGCCCCCCCGGGTGTCCACGGATATCCTGGCCTGTCCCCCCCCTATAGGCCTTCCTCTGCTCCTCAAAAGCCGAGAAAAAGTCAGCCCTAAATCCATATTGGGCTACCCCTTCTCAGAAAGTCCCAAACAATTTGCGTGTGAAAAGTGTGGTCGCACATATGCCTCAACAGGTAACTTAAAACGGCACAAGAAATATGAATGTGGAGTGGAGCCTCAGTTTTCTTGTCCAATCTGCAAGAAAAAATTCCAACACCGTCATAGTGTAAAGATCCACGTATTTTCCACTCATCGTAATGAGGCAGGAGAAGGTGGCCCCCCCGATGCAGCCAAAGATTCACCTGCAATCTTCCCTACTTCTGAAGGAATGGCTGCTGTAGGACCAGTACCATGTAAAGAAGAGTTCTTTCCAATACCTCAGGAGGCCAATGCCCCCACAACCCAAAATCAAGATGGCTAGATATAAGGCTAGGACTAACTATTAGGAAGGTCAAAGGAAAATTGAATTTTTTGCATGATAGTTCCAGTTTTAAAATTACTGGGGGAAGTGGGATAGGATATTCCATTTCAAAATGTGCCTGAACCTCTGTTATGCTCAGGGGTAGAATATTGTGTATCCAGATTTTTATGTAGTTGAATTAGTTGTCTGAGCATTGCAAGGATTCAGATGGGGTGAAATTCCAAACAACATAACATACAAAGCTTTCATTGAAATGTATCCGTTAAGCTAGATTGGTTTTTTTATGGAGTGGTAAATAGGATGTTGTTAGATACTGCTTGTAAGGTTGAAAAATGTACACACAGACTGTGAAACTTAGTGTATCCAATAATGACCTTGAACTCAAGGAACCTGACGCCTGTCTGTGATGTAATGCTGAACTATGTGTATCATTATATCTTTAGTTGAGCTCACAGTGACGTGTATGGACTTTCTTTAGAGTAAGCCAGAAGTGACTGTGTTTCTCATTCTATCAGTCTGTGTGTTCATTAGTAATGTACTGCCAAGCTAAGAGAAATGCCTGTCAATTTTTTTTATATTGGAATAATTCTTAAATTAAAAATTTACAATGACAAAGTTTTCTTAAGCTGAAAACTTTATATAAATAAAGCTTGGTAAGTTATATATTGCCCATAGTTCAGCATTTTGCCAAGCTCTCTATTGCACTGAGTGAACTATATGCTGTAACTTCATGCACCAGTTCCTATTGGCAGTGCATCTCATTGCAATGTACTGTTTATCTGAAAGACTATTGGTTAATTGTTGTCTGGTTCAGAGTGTTGCTGAAAATATATATGGTGCATTTTCACCATTGTGGGTTAATAGGCAAAGGGGTGACAGGTTTTTTTTCTTCACATGTGCTGTCCATATTCAGTAATCCTTTACGGGACTTACTGTTTAAAATCAACAACAAAAGGAAACTGGTATCCCTTTGGCTATTATTTCAGTGAATGGAACACTATATCAATATTTTACCTGTTCATATAAAGAGCATATTATTAATGGGCAGTGCAAGACAGGACACTGTCAGATCCACAGATACTAAGGATTCATTCAATACATGTTTCAGGTGAGAAGCCATGAAATAGCATTGTGGTGCCCATTCATTTGTGGTAACTCAGGGATTATTTTCTTAACCAAACATGGGTGCAGTGTCTGATCTCCTGTAATATTTAGCTGGTGTGACAGGCTACAAATAATGCCAAACTCAGGGTATAAGTACAAATAAAGCCATGGTCAATTCATTCCATAGAGTAAATTTAATGTTGCTGCTCAAATAGGCATTTCATTGTAGCACAGACACAATCAAATATTTTACGTGCCAGTATAGCTTAATCATTAGACGTTTGCTAATGTTATAGTGTTGTAGGTGCTACAGAGTCATGTTTAGTGCTGCACACCATTTTCTCAGGGACTGCATCATTAGCCAACTATAATATACCTTCTCATAAAGGTGCGATAGATCATCGACAACTTGGTGCCTGCCAATCATGACCTCATGGCCATAGAGGTATCTGTGGCTGCTTCTCATCCTGCTGATCCTAGTCAGATTATGAATCCTAGGATGCCACAGCTGTTTAGAAATATTTTATATATGTTAGAAGAGTGGCTGTGGCATCCCATCTTTAAATAGTATTTGTATCAGGGCTTATTATAAACCATTATATTTGAATATTTGTTAGAAGGAATGTCTGTTAGTTAGACAATCAAGTAGGAAGAGTTTCTGTGGTGGTTATAACTAAGCTAAGTTAAAAGTGTCCAAGAAGTTTATTTTTGCTCAGGAACTTGTGGCTTACTTGTATTACCTGCCAGAGGAATTTTTCCCTTGTTTGTGTGTATTTGCATTATGGTAAGCTCGGTACCACATTATTTAATGGAATATTTATTCTAGTTGCTATTTGTTGCTAAATGCTTAGGGCAAGGTTGCATTATATTTTGCATGAAAAGGTGTACAGTATTATGAGTTTTGCAAAAAATGTAATCTTGCCTCAAAGTTCTCTGATAATTGAAATACAACGAAAAGTTCCTCAACATTGTGAAGGTTTATGCAACCAATACGGGTATTACGCAGGTACTGCATTTGCTTGTCGGAATCTAGCACCGCACTGTCTGACCATCCTGTCCTGTACTGCCTTGCAAGGTTTATTTATATGGTAACAATCTGTGCCCCTCCAAGACTTGATCAAATGATATGAGTGATAACTGTTAAGAAACTCATAACATTAACTTCTGCTGTGCATTTAAGTAATTTTAATAGGAAATTTAAAGATTGGTCATTCTTCATAGTACCAACCCTTGGGTTACTTAAGCAGATGAATGATTATTTATTCATTTGCATTTTTAAATATCAATATTCAAATATGATTATACTGTACAGCACAGTACATGAACATTTGATGTAATGAGTTTCTACCAAGTTACTGTAAACGTGAATATAAATTTCATCGTTTCAAAAGATAGTTCTACTATTAACTATTTTGAGTTCTGTCCAAAACTCTAGTATGCCTTAAAATGAAAGTTCCTGATACTAGGTTAATTTTATAACCTCTGATTATATAACTTTAAAATGCCAAGGTGTTACCAAGCCTAGTGCTGATGTATGATGTGAAGGTGCTGATATAACTAAATGCTCAGCCTCCATGCTTGGTTGTACCCCCCCCCCTTTGTTTTAACTAATTTATATATTTTCTCAATTGAAGTTAGTTAAATCAATAAATAATGAAGCATACAAATACTGTGCAGGGTAATGAGAAGTTAAAAGGATAATTGTGCCAATTTCTCAGTCATGCTCTTTATTACCCTGAAGGTGAAGATCTCATGTCGCCAGCCATCATTTAATAGGAAATCAACCTTCCAATCTTGAGAGACCAATCCCTCAGCTGTGCTGCTGCTTATTGAATGATGCCAAATTAGTACAACCTCCTGATTGCAGTACAAATAATGCCTATTTAATTCTAGTTACCACTGCTCACTATTGCTTAACAAAATAAATATAATGAGATAGTTAGTACTGCTTTATTGGTGAAGAGAGAAGTTAGCTAGAAGTAACTCACCTTGGAGGGGCCAGGAAATCCTCATATGGATGATCATATTTGAGAACTTTCTCTAATAAATTGGGATTGGCTTATTAGTTCATGAAGTTATGCATAGTAATGATTTAGCACTGAAATGTGTACCTTTGACCACAGTTTTGTAAGTTTTTGAACTAGCGTTGTTTTACCCACATTATTTAACACTGAGTGGATCTTGCTTAATATCATACGCTCTGTAAAGCATAAAAATGTAACTTTAAGTGTGGTTGGAGAGTTGAACCACTTGTGTAGGGGCTCCCTTCTGAGCTGAATAAAATCGTCAGGCATTAGCCAAATAAAATATTTAAAATGGCATCCCCATAGTGAAGTGGTTAATGCCAACATGTTTGCTGGCAATGTGTGGGGTGTTATGTACTCAAACAAAGTAGTTCTTCATTAAGCAGCATTTTTTCTATCGCCAAAAAATTAAGAAACCAATTAAATGCTGCATTGTATATGTTTATTGGAGTCATCTAGTGGTTCAGTCCACTCAGCATTTTCATCGGTGTTTTCTTATACAATTCAGGTACAGTATCCCCGAAGTTATGGAAACTCAGGTTGCAGAAAATCGCTCATACGGATTTTTAAAATTATAACCTCTAATATTCGGGATACAGCCCGTAAATTTGACCTTACAGAGATGGGGTAAATTTTCAACAGAAAACTCGCTCTATAGAAAATAAATAAATAAAAAATCACCGACGTTATAATTTATTTGGTGTGGATTTCTTGGCATTTGCTTCTACCAAGTGTGGGGATACACAGTGTACCCATGCCACTGGACTCGGTTTGTTTATATCTCCCAGTGTGTACCCTTGATCTCTTGATTCCAGCTCTTGGATTTAACACTTACTGTATACAGTATACATACCTTATTCAAAACTGTCCAGTGTATTACCCTTGTTCAAGATGAGTGGAAAGAGGCCATCAAGTGCAAGTGAAAGCATTAGTGCTAAAAGAGCCCATAAAGGAATTACCGGTACATAAGATATAAAACTTGATGTTTTATGAAGTTTGGTGCAGGAGAAAAACTTAGCCAGATTGCAAAAACATTAGGGCTTGCTACATCTCCCAATAACTCCCATTGCACCACCTCACCTCACACAGCATTAAATATTGTGTGTGATGAGTTAAATTCGAGTGTTTTGTGTACTGTATTTATTATCTTTATATCATAAGGTAATCAATGTATGTGTTAAAAAAATATATTTTCATTCATTAGTGTGCTTGTACTATATTACTTCTTTTTGTGAAAATGTTTCTTTGGGAATGCATCTCCAATTATATAATCGAAGTCAATGGGAAAATGTGTTTCACGTTATGGTCAACTTTTCAAGGATGCATCCCTTCCGTAACCCGGGGATTACTGTAGTTGAAAATCCCTTAGTGAAGCCTGTAGGTGGTTTGACTACATTTGTTGTCTGAATCACATTTAACTCTCAAAAGCCTGCTTTCACGTGACACACCACCAGTGTCCTTGATGAGTAGCATGGCATGTGGCAAATCCACTCTCTTGGTTCAAACATCAGCAGTGACACCTACATCATATTTCTCCATGATAACTAAGCAGCTTGTTGGCAATTTGGCACCTTTGCGGAGCCTTGGCCTCACAATACCCAGGACCACACTGCTTGCCACACCTCGCCTGACACAGCCTCTTGAGCTCAGTTATCTGAAAGCTCCTCTTGAGCTCAGTTATCTGAAAGCTCCTCTTGATTTCAAGCCACCTAGAACAACACCACTGCACTTCACCTGACACACCACTGTGCGACCTCAGACCACAAGATTAAACAGTGGCATTGCCATATGTAACACCGAGTCAGTACCCCAGAATTTTTGGGAAATGTGATTATAAGCTAGTTGTGACATTAAGTGAGGTTGTGCAGCCAATTTGACGCGTGGTTTTCAGAACTTTGTGATATAAAGTGATGCTGAGCGAAATGATGTTAAGCGAGTTTCACTGTAATTCAAAGTTCCTTGTATATACTAACATGTTTAAAATGGTAGATATCTAGTAGTATTGGATTTATTTGTTTGTTTATTTTGTGAGACTTTCCTATTAGAGAATTACATGTGAAAGTATTCTCTGTTTGATATGATTTGGATGGATAGGCTAGTGCAGATATTTCTTGTTCTGCTGGTCTCTTCTTTATATAGTTATTCTTTAAACAGTATCTTTACCATTGTCCGTATTTTGCTCCTCAAGTGTTGACTCTCTGCACGTGGATAAAGTGTTCCATTGTCCGTGTAATCATATGACCCTTTATGTTGATTTACTATTCACCGAAGGAGAAGTGTACAATATTTTCTTGCATTGTAATATAATATGTATTGGTTATCCTGTATATTGTAGGAAGTACATTTTTATTGTAGAGTGATTAACAGAGTTCCTGTCAGCAAAAAATGGGCTTTTGATTAGCTAAGAGTAACCTATGTATTTTTACCTACCATGGAATTAACATATTATTTAAATTCTTCTGTAAACTTTTAAGTAAGAAATAACTCCATTTGCCAGTATATTGGTCAGTGCTACTGTACATTATATTTATGTTGCTGTATTCCTATCAGGTTTGAATTATTGTAGTCTTTATATTCAAACTTGTTTAGTGTATATTACTTCTACTGTTAGTATTACAAGTTGTGTCATTTTAATAATACAATGGCATAATGACATTAGCCAGAACAGCATATGGTTTGTCTGTTATGGTTCCTCATATAGTTAAATAGCATATTTATTTGAACAGGACATAATCATCTTGGGTCATTGTATAATAGACATAGTACACTCAATAGTAATGTTAAAACGTGTTAGAAGTTGCCATTGATAAGGACATCCAAATTTAACCTATTATATATTTTTAATTAATACAGTAGTGATTTAATTCTAGCATGTATATGGTAATCTTTATTTATATTTTCTATTTACATTAGATATCCGACTTAACACTCCGTATGTACAATCGTCCAACGAAGTGATGTCATGGATTTCAGTATGATTCGTTCAAATAACGGTATCTGGCAGCTTGGCAGGAGCAATGCGAGTGACTGACCACTTACCAATAGTCTGGACGCTGTTATATAGTAAGATGATATATTAACAAACTCCTGAGCCAAATTTCTCACTACCCAACTTTTTGGGGGGGCATTCCCTCATGTTTTTGTAAGCAAAAGGCTTTAAAATGGGTAGCAATAATAAAATAGCTATACAGGGTAGCCCAATCCCATGCTTGAAAGATGAAGAAGATGAGTGCAGGAAAAAAAAAAGGGACAGCCAGTCCTAGAAGATACAACAACATTAGCTGATACCTGTAACACTTAATAGTAGTGTAGAATATTCTGCATATGGCTTATTTCCTTGTTTAGATGTTGTTTTATTTTTAGAACAATATGAAAGGCATTTGTTACTCTTTAAAATAATTATTAGTTGAATAAGGTTTCATATTTTAACAACAGTACAGTACATGATTTGTTCTTACAATAATCTTGTGAAAAACTGCTTCAGCATTTATTATTTAATTTGTTACGGTTTCACAAAATTGTGTTCCACATCAAAAAAATAAAGCGAGTCTGGTAGTCGCCAGGTACAGGGTAGTACCATTTTCTGAAAACCATGATATCATTTATTTGGGCATTTGTACTGTACACTACCATGATTAGACTCCTTAAAAAGCCTTTTGTCTGTCACATCCAAACTGTGTATCTTATGATTACAGGTTGCTTTTGTTTTTTTAACACCTGTAGTAAGGTTGGCTAAAGTGGAATTAACAATATTTGTCATATTAAGCAGTATGTTCCAAGGCTTAATATATTCTTTAAAACATGATCGCAACTTCTGCCGAGCTCTGTAATTATGACGGAAGATATAGTGCAAGATTCTTGTCCACCAAAAGTACAAGTATACCTTTTATATCATTCCTTTCAATAAATCAATATATAAAGACCCAGTTGATTATCAAAACTATTCGTAAATAACTCGTATTTTTGTTATTGTTTAAAATTTATATCCTAAGAGAAAAAAAAATATAATGAGACATTTTTAATCATCACAATAGTTTATATGTAAAGCATTTGTCAATCTACCTCAGTTTTTGCTTGATGAAATCATTTTGGATGCTTTTTGTATAAACTGTTGGTGTTGGTTTTAAATGACATCCAAAATGACATCATCATCAATATGCCTCTTTCAAACCCACATAACACAAGAACATACCTGGTCACTATACATATGCCACCTCACTTAGGGATGAATATATAAAAAATTACAGCATAATACTGGAATTAGTATAGTAAACAAAGCAAATAGTTCATATTAGTCTATTAGTTCTTGTTTATTGTGCAGTACTATTGAGTAAATCCTCTGGATGCAGATCCACTGGTGACACATTAAGAGCTATATGAAGTAGTGAGTAATAATAGTGGACATAGATATGTGGTAAACTGTTGTAGGTATTACTGAAGACCTGGCCTTACCTGTGATCATGCTAATCCTCTATTATTATTTCCTACAGTACAGTATTTATATTCCGAATAGGAATCTTTTGATAATCATCATCATTGAGGTTAGCAGTGCCAGGTGTCTTCCCAGCAGATGTCAACACCTTAGTAGCTAATGATTAATAGGAATGCGTGGTGGTAGGGCATTATTTTTATAGTATGGGCAGTTGCCAATTTACCTTGCATTAATAAAGATGTCGCGTTTAGAAGATTTTGGTTTAATTTTCCTTATAGTTAATATTTTGCATTTATGTTCTTTCATCATAAGTACAAGTACACTGGGTTTTAAAAGCAATAGTGCCCACAAAGATTACACAGCAGTAAATGAGAATTTTATGCTTTAACTTAGAATTACAGTAATTATATTATCAATACTTTCAATTATAATTACAGTACAGGTACATGTATATGATACATTATGTAACACGAAGAAAGTAGAAAAGAACAAAATATTTAGGGCAATAAGTAAAGTTCTTACTGTAGCTTCAAAATATATATTTTATCATAATCATTTAGATATAGTGTATCACTTATCAGGGAAATTTTATGAGGTAGACATACAATACATCAGTTAAGATATATATAACATGAAATCTTTTGCATGTGCTCTCAATATAAATGGAAACTAGGTAGGTTATACATTATTATGCACAACAGATGGTACTGTACTGTAGTTATGGTTTTATGGAATTCACAATCTAATGTAGAGTTACTAATTTGCAGCTGTAACACTTATATCTGTCCATAATACATATTAAAGACAAAACTATTACAATAACGTATAAAGGAGAGAGAACCAATCTGCTGATAATCTTGACTATAACATCAAAACTAATTAAAAAAATGCTACAGCATGTGATTTTTCTCATCTATCCTTAACAAAACAAAATGGTGTCTGTAATCAGAGACTACTGTATACAACAGTGGTTCCCAAACATGGGGTAGCAACCCCAAACGGGATTTTAAGGTGCATTATAAAGTGGTGCATAGAGCTCTTAGGGTCACTGGGCTCTCATGGGGTCGCTGGAGTTGCTTGGGTCTTGCAGAGGTCACATGTGATTTTCTTTTAGTCAAGGACTGAAGGATGTGGCCAATAGGTGCCGTTTCATAAAGTTTGGACCATAGATTATGGTCTAGGGATTAATGCAGTAACTCTCCTTGTGTCAGGTCTGGTCAGTCCAGGTCAGGCTTACCCTGGTGACAAGTTTCACAACAGAAGCTGCACACTCGTACATGTGAACTGGTTTCAGCTCAGTTCACTCTCTATTTTCCATGGATGCTGATGCAGAATTACAGGCTGACAATGAAGCAAGGTAAAATTTGACGTCTATGATGTCATGGCAAAGCTTTGGATTACTTTATCAAAAGAGACATTCAAAAGTTAAATATCGAGCTATCAAGGTTCTGGTACAACTTCGAACCACCTAGTTCTCTAAGGCAGCTTCCTCATCAATGACGATTATTAAAAAATCATTATAACCGTATTTTAAAATTCAACTTAAAAAAATTGTCTTAAGTTGCTTCATGTAATGCACCCCCAGGTATGGAAACTTAATCAAATGATGACGTATACATGTTACATCCAAAATATGACCGAGTTGTAACTAAGAAAATTGTATGTTGTGTTGCTTAACGACGTAATTATGCACCCAGGTATAGATCATTAAAAGATGATATAAATATGTCACATAATAAGCATAAAAACATAAGAATGGGGAAAACTGTAGCGGGCCACTTGGCCCATACTGGGCAGTCCTGTTTACACCCAACCCTCTATCGTTCATATATCCGTATTTGAAGTTACCCAGTGTGTTCGAGTTAATGATGATGTTTGTTAACTTATTCCACTCATCCACTACTCTATTTCCAAACCAGTGTTTACCTATCTCGTGCCTAAATCTAAATTTGTCTAATTTAAAACCTTTGCTACAAGTTTGTTTTATATATATATATATATATATATATATATATATATATATATATATATATATATATATATATATATATATATATATATATATATATATATATATATATATATATATATATATATATACACACACACACAGTATTACCCCGCCTAACGCGGTTTCACTTAGCGCGTTTTACCGTATACGCGGTGCCTTGCCAGAGCTGAACTTTCACTTAACACGGATTTTTTCCACATATACGCGGTGAGTGTCCGGCTCGAGATGCTATTTTTAGATTTGCCCCACGCGCCACCCGCCCGCCTGCCTGCCTGCGCTCATCGCCTCTCCCTCCTCCTCCCTCCGCTTGGGCAAGCGGCGCGGTAAGGTTGCCCAGTGTGTGTCTTTGTTGCGTTATCACTGACGTCATATGATGTATCGGACTGTGATTGGCCATGCATCCCTACCCCCCTCTGCTGCTAGCTGTAATTGGCTTAAACTATTATGACGTGACCACCCCGGGGAGGGAGGGAGGGAGGGAGGAAAGACGATGCTTAACCTAGCCGCGGCAGTTTCATCCCTCAAGGCCACACCGTGTAAACGCGCATCCATTGTTCCGTAAAATGGCTTCCGCCGGACCACCACCGCCACCAGAGAGAGACCTTTCCTTACCTGGACCCAGCGGCACTAAGCCAAAGAAGACACGACGTTCCTTAAGCTACGAGGTGAATTACCAAATTGTTCAAGATTTGGAGAAAGGAACACGGCAAGTTGATCTCGCGCGCCAGCATGGCGTCAACGAATCTACGATTCGCACGATCAAGAAGGATGCAGCCAAGATCAAAGAGCACATGAAAATCACAAAGTCTGCAGGTGCTTCATCTATCAGGTATTGCCAGAACAGGGTGCTGGCAAAAGTGGAAAATTTGCTGGTGAGTTATTTGATTCGTCAGGCGCGACGCAACATGGCGGTGGACACGCGCTCAGTGCAGGAGTACGCACGTGAGCTATACGCAACAGTGTCACGTAAGCTGGGAATTGCAGAGCCCAAACCCTTCAATGCTTCCTCTGGTTGGCTGCATAGGTTTAAGAAGAGGAACAAGATCACCAACATCAACATTGATGGTGAGGAAGCGAGTGCTGACCGTGTGGCGGCTAGAGATTTTCCTCCGTTCTTACGTGAGATTATGGAGGAAGGACAGTACACTGACGACCAGGTGTTTAACATGGACGAATCTGGTCTTTTCTGGAAAAAGCTACCTTCCAAGACCTTCGTTGTCCAGTCTGCCAGCAAGGTAAGGGGTCGGAAGTTGCAGAAGGAACGCATCACCGTCCTGTTTACCACCAATGCCTCCGGTACCTGTAAACCAAAGTTATCGGTGATTCACACAGCCCGCAAGCCGCACGCCTACAAGAATATGGACATGAACAAGCTTAATGTCCACTGGCTAACCGCACGTAAGGCGTGGATGTCCTCTTCTCTGTCCCTCTTCTGGTTTGGCAACTGTTTTGTTCCCGACGTGAAGAAATTCTGCGAGCAACAGAATGTTTCATTCAATATTTTGCTGCTCCTTGACAACGCACCTGGACACTCGCCCCTACTTATGGATCGTCACCCCAACGTAAAAGTGGTCTTCCTTCCTCCCAACACTACGTCATTAATCCAGCCCATGGACCAGGAGTTGATCTGCAATGTGAAAGCTGCGTACTCTGCAAAGAAGTTCAAGCTCCTGAACGACTCTACCAACACCAAGGATGAGTTGCGTAAGCTGGGTGACACCGACAGCGAGAGCAAAAGCGACGAGGACAAGGAACAAGAGGCGGTGACTCAAGAACTTCTCGTCAAACAATTTTGGAAGAAGTTTAACGTTAAACAAGCTGTAGACTTCTTGGTGGAGGCATGGGATCTGCTGACTATTGCTACGATTCGTCACGCATGGAGACATGTGTTGCATGGCATACCAGGTGAGAGGAGGAGTGAACCTGTGACTGGTGAGGTTCAGACTGTTGCAGTAGCAGTGGACCTTGCCAGAGAAGCTGCGCTCAATATTACAGCTGAAGGCTTCTCCGAGACCACCAACGAAGACATCCTGGAGGTGATCAGAGATCCTGAAATGACTGCCGACGAGATGTTGGAAGAAGAACACGCCAGTGAAGAGGAGGAAGAAGGTGCGTCATTCTCCGAAGAACTTAGTTAAAGTCATAGTGATATTATGTGTGCCATAGAGTTTGCAGAGAAAATGAAGTCCGTCCTTTCCCGCGACAATGACGATGACCGCTATGAAGTCTTCCATACCCGGCTGGTGCAGGCTATGGAGCCGTACATCACCGTGTATCATGACAACATAAACACCAGCCGTCAAAAAAGCATAACCGAGTTCTTCGCCTGCAACCCACCACAGCCAGCCCAAGCCAGTGATAGTGACAGTGAAGTTGACTTTGAGGGATTTGTCAGGGAAGCCCTGACAACTGTAAGTGACAGTGATGGTGATTCACCTGGTAATGGTGATTCACCTGAGGGCCAGTAATCTGCCCTCTGCCTCGGAACCAGCCTCCATCCCCGTATGCCGACCCATCTCTTCTACTACCGTAAGTGTTCCACCTAACTTTCAGTTTCTCTAACGTAACCTTTATTTTTCCTAACCTAACCTCTTCTATATTACTTTTTTTTTCATACCATCATAAAGTTAAGATAAAATTTTTACTACAACATAGTTATGTGTCGTCAAAAAGTGGAGTTTGGGGGTTGGGCTGGTTTCTATTGGAATTAATCCCATATGTTCTGTTGTTCACTTAACGCGGATTTCACTTAACACGGGACCCTCTGGGTTCTATTGACCGCGTTAAGTGGGGTACAACTGTATATATATATATATATATATATATATATATATCATTAGCCCAATAAACATGCGGACTTATATACATACATACATACATATATATAGAGAGAGAGAGAGAGAGAGAGAGAGAGAGAGAGAGAGAGAGAGCTCACTTTGCGCGGTCAATTGAACCCACGGCGGCCCACGTAAAGTGAGAAACGCGTAAAGTGAACAACATAACATATGGGATTAATTGAAATAGAGACTGGGCCGACCCCCAAACTCCACTTTTTCAGACACAATACCTATGTTGTAGTAAAAATAACTTCTTAATTTTATGATGGTATGCACACGCAATTAATAATTAAGAGAAATATCAATAATATTAGGTTTTTTAACACTTACATGAGTAGAAAAGATGGCTGGGCACACGGGGATGGGGGGTTGGTTCCGAGGCAGAGGGCAGATTATTGGCCCTCA